CCCAGCACCAAGTGCTTGGCCGGAGGAGGGACGCTTCCACAGTTTCAGACCACGGAGATCACGGGGGTGGGGGCAGGTTCCTGGAGCCGAGGGTGCCCGCCCTGGGTGCAGGTGGTGGGGTGGGGGGTGGCTCTGGGTCTTGGAGGCCGTCTGGTTTTGTGCCCTAGACTCTGGAGCTTCAGAGCGCTTTGGGGGAGCCATTCTGGGCACTGCAATTTCCACTGGTGTGGGGCTACATCAGAGGAGGGGGCTGGCACCTCCACCCCGACCCCCACCGTGGCCCAGGGGGTAGGAAGCACTTTCTTCCCTGATCCACGGGGTGCTTCGCTTTGGGACGCCAGGTGTGTGTGTGTGTGTCTTTGCTGGCCTGCCAAGGGTGTGGTTCGTGTGCCCTGGGGCATTCTGGGCACTGCAATTTCCACTGGTGTGGGGCTACATCAGAGGAGGGGGCTGGCACCTCCACCCCGACCCCCACCGTGGCCCAGGGGGTAGGAAGCACTTTCTTCCCTGATCCACGGGGTGCTTCGCTTTGGGACGCCAGGTGTGTGTGTGTGTGTCTTTGCTGGCCTGCCAAGGGTGTGGTTCGTGTGCCCTGGGGCATTAACGGACTTTTTCTCCCAGGAGAGAGGAGAGCCCTCCCCTGTGTAGGGACAAGCCCATTCTGAAGCATTTTGAGTAAGTACTTTCCTAGCGTGCCTCTGGTGCTCGCCCTTGGAGCCTGGGCCTCCCTGAGGGGTCCCAAGGGAAGGAGTCAGGTCGGGCTTCAGGAGGAAGCAAGGGGGGCCCCCAAGGGCCCCACTTCCCAGGCTCTTAGAGGGCCCCTGAAGCATTGTGATGGGCCAGGGCGTGCGACCCAGAGCGAAGGGTGAGACAAAGTTCTAAGAACGCCATTGTTCAAATAGCAGGGGTATCCCGCTTTGCCGGAGTGGGAGACCCTTTATGCCCCCAGCGTTTTTTCTCTTTGCCTCTGTCCTCTCCTGGCCATTCAGCCCCCTTTCTCTCTCTCCCTCTTTCTCTCTTTCCTGAAAGGGAGAACCCCTCTTCTAGACTTTCCTTTCCCCCCCCTGCCCCAAATACACACACATCATGTCTCCCTCCACCTTTCCAGGCCCTCTCAACTGCTTGAAGAGTTTGAGTCCCTAACTGGGGGGGGCTGGCGTGAGGCAGGGTGGCCAAAGGGCCCTGGGGAAAGGGAATCCCGCCCTGGTCTGCCTTGACCTTCCTCTCTTCTCACGGTGAGAGGAAATCAAGAAGGCCTGCTACCGAGTGACAGAAGGAAGAACTGCAGGCTATGGGCCAGTTTTTATTGACACAAATCAATCAATCAGTTTTTAGAAATGGAAGAGCCCCGAGGGGCACACGTCAGGCTCCTGTGAGATTTCGCACAGCTGGCAGAGAGAGAGTCAGGCGCAAAAGTCACCCCCATAAATGGGACCACAGAGAGGGCCAAGTTACCACAATTTTTGTGCCAGAAATCCTGGTGTCTGCCTCTATTATTGAGACCTTTAAGACTTTAAAAAAAAGATGGCAAGAAGAAAACAGGGTTTCTCAGTTGGTTTTATTCAGCTTTGCAGGCCACCAAATGCAGAGGGCTCGGTGCAGCTGGGACTAGAGCGCCTCGTCTGGTGGGGGGGGAGGTGAGGCTGGCCGGGGACTCCCCCAGGGCAGGCCCCCAGACACTCTCAGTCGGATGAGGGGTGGCCGTGCCCGGGGTCGGGCTTCCCTCTGAAAGGGAGCTCCTGAGAGGGAGGGAGAAGTTGCTGTGAAGAACTCCAGGGGGCTCAGAAGAAACATCTCCCCCCCACCCCCAAGCACCCACCCACCCATGCCTGTCTTTCCCAGGCCAGGTGGAACAGGGAGAGGCGGCAGCTCTTCTGTTTTCTGCTGTTCCTGAGAGGCTCCTCTCGGCTTTGGTCGCTCACGTCGGCCTCTGAGCACCAGGAGGGAGAAGGCCAGGCAGGGCGGGCGGGCGGAGGGGGTCTCCTCTGCTGCTGGTGGGTCTGGAGGGTGCTCTCCGCCTGCCCTGGCCCCAGGGAAGACGCCTGCCCTGGCTGGCCTTGAGCCCTGCCAGGGCTGTGGCTTCAGCCCTCCGGAGCCCCTGCCTTGTGTTATCTTATGGGAAAGGGGAGGCGAGGCGAGGCAGAAAAATGGGCTGGGTGGCTCCTTGCCTAGGGAACGCCAGGGCCAAGAGTGGCTTGGGTTTGGGGGGCCTCCCCCCCTATTCAGGCTCTGCCTTGGGGCCCCTTTCCTGTGCCCTTAAACCATTTTTTCATCTGTATAGATTTCATACCCATCCCAGAGCCTCGGATGCTGGTGAGCTGGTTAGGCAGGATCCCGGGGCCTCCGGGAGGTGGTTCGGGTGCCGTTGGACATCCATGAAAGCTATAGCCAAGGCAGGAGAGGGCAGAGTCCGTGCTGTGGAGGGCCTGCCCTTTGGCGGCTCCAAGGACCACCGGCAGCCTGTCCTGTTTGGAAGAGATGCCGAAGGGGCGTCCCTTCCCGCCAAGGACCTTCATTCACCCTCGGAGGGGCTTAGGGTTTGCCATGGGGCCCCTGGAGTTCAGCTTGCTTGATGGAGCTCTTCCAAGCAGGCTGCTTGGGGCTTGATGCCCGGCCCGATTCCCTTTGTGACCCACATGGGTTGCTGTGTGGGGTGGGGCGCTGTGTTGCCATGAAGGACGGCATCCCGGAGGGGCCGCCTGACAGGGAAAGCCTCTTTTTCCTTGCAGAGCTCGCTTCTTGGAAAACTTGGCCGCCTCCCAGAAGGAGAAGATGGTCGCTATCTCCAGAGGCCGGGCAGAGATGCTGGCGGAAGCGACTCCAGGCGCTGAGACGGCCGTCCCGGGTGAGGAGCGCAAAGAGCTGGCCGGCCGACCGGCTGGCTGGCCTGCTTTTGGACCCAAGGCTGGGCAGGGTGGCCGACCCTGTCCCTTCCCCTCACTTGCCCCCTGCTCAGCCTGCCTCGCTTCCCCTCCCCTCATGTCTCCCTTTCTGCCCTCAGGGTGGTGGGGCGAAGGAGCCAACGGAGGAGGAGGAGGACCGGAAGGGAAGGCACCTTGGCCAGCACCGCCTCCTGAGCCCTCGGTTGGGGGAGCAGCGGCTGCAGACCTGCCAGGCCTGGGGGCCCCACACAGCCTGGCCTCGGCCCCCAGCTTGGCCTCCCCTCCCGGCTCAAACCAAGTGCTGCCTGGCGGCTGCAGCATCCACCACAACAAGGATGGCGCCCAGGGCGTGGTTCCCACGAAGACGCGGGGGCTTGAGAAACTCTTCGGCTCGACGTGGAGCCCCACTGGGGAGAGCTGGGCCGGGGCCTTGGACCCGAGGGGCCCCGGAGAGGAAAGCGGCCCCGGCGCTGGCCCAGAGGCCCGTGAGGGGCCAGAGCCCACGAGGGCCCGGACCTTGCGGAGCCAGTTCAGCCTTGAGGCAGAGGCTGGCCTGCAGACCCTGGAGCAGGCGCTCGTGACCCCCTTCAGGAAAGGCTCTGAGGTGGCAGGTGGAGGCCCCCCCGTCAAGCCGACCCCCGTGCCTCTGAAGATCAGAGACCTGGACTTCTCGGACCTGGGCGAAGAGGAGGACGGTGACTGCCTTGAAGGGGAGGGGGTTGAGAGTGGGTTGACTAGTGGGCAAAAAAAGAAGAAGAAGACAGTGAAACTCTTCTGGAGGGAACTGAAGAGCCTGGAGGGGGGCCCCAGCCAGGGGGGCCCCTTTGGGCCAGCCACGCTCTGGGCCTCCCTAGAGAAGGTGGAGGTTGACACGGCCAAGCTGGAGCACCTCTTCGAGTCCCGGGCCAAAGAGATGCCGAGCGCCAAGGTAGGCAGCAGGGCGGGGCAGGGCAGGGCCAGGCTGGGCACCCCTTTAGAGCAGCCGGGGGGGCGGGCGCGGGCGCGGGAGGAGAAAGGAGGGAGAGGGGCTTTGCTCTTGCCTTGTTCTTGGGTCTGCTGATGCCTTTGGCTGACGAGTAGGGGGAAGGGGAGCACTCCCCAGGGAGGCCACCGGCTAGGCTAGT